AAAATTTACGGTGTTACAGACCGAGAACTCGTTCCTGGCCGAGAACACCCTAAGACCGAGAACCTGGTTCTCGGTTGAGGTTTTAAGACCGAAATCAGGAGATTTCGGTGAAGGCTAGACCGAAAACCCTTGTCAACACTCCAAACAATTCTCGGTAATTTTTGTAAGAAATTCCTTACATAAATTAAGTGTTGTCTAACGCTTTAATTAATTATTTCGCTAATTTAAAGACGATTATGTGTTTAAATAATATTAGGATACCGCTCTTCCCACGTACGCTAGCCGGAGGATCATCTCTACAGTTCCACTATCCAGACTCGAACACACACTAAAGGTGAGTTCATACCCCTACGTTTTCACTATTTTCAATGTTTTTAGGGGGGATACAAGTTAAACACAAGGACTCTTGTGTTATCATTCAAATGATTTCAAACCATTACAAACCATTTGCAAGTGCTTCAAACCGATTTATCACTACAAATATCAAAATATATTTATTATATATTTAAACCCTTTTGTAACATGCTGAGCAAAAAGGAACGTCATACAAATCTTTTGTTTCTGTTTTATACACACTGATAAATTGCAAAGGTTTTCATTCATTACAGAGTATACATTCAAACTATAATAGACATAGTTTGTGAATTAATACACTATTTTGCTAGGTTCAACAAACGATACAAGAACATACATTTAAACTATAATAGGTATAGTTTGGGAAACACTACACTATTTTATAAGTACAAGAACACTATACAGACACAAGTATATAAACTATAATAGGTATAGTTTATGGAACACTACTCTATTCCACTATTTCAAGGATACACTACTAGAAATAATTATTTAAGTATAATTATTTTACATTACAAAGTACACTATTACAAGGTTATACATACAGTTTCAAGTACAAGAGAACATTACTACACTACATGTAAACTAGTTAATACAGGGTTGTGAGGCACTACTTCGGTGTACCCATTAGGGTACCGGTTCAAGTCCTATAAATTATAACCAGAGTCTCCTGGAGGGAGAGCGTGAATTTGTGTATAGATCTATATGGGACTGACAATTCCGCACCTGAGCTACTTGCAATAGCTAGGTCGGCAGGCCTGGGGTGACAAATCTCATAACATTCCGACGCCTGAAGAACGTCGTAGAGGCCACTAGGTCATATCATGCATAGTTATATGAAACTCACAATAGTATTAAATTAAACATTTGTTTACGGAATTAACACTACTTCAAAGGTTTTATTTTAATTAATAAAACTACAGTACATTACATACACTACAGCTGGTGGATTACAGGCATTCATAAAAAAGGTTTTATTTTAAATAATGAAACTACAGTACACTATTTTACACTACAACTGGTGGATTCCAGGCACTCATACAATAAGATTTTCATACAAACACTACTACAGTACACTACTTTTCTAGTACAGAGTACACTAGTATGACATACAATTTCAAGAAACATTTATGACAAAGTTTTATTTGTTAATAAGACTACAGTTCACTATTTCAGAGTACATTTCTCTATTTCAGAATACAGTAACTACATACATTTTGGTCTTAAGGCCTAAGACTACATTTCATTCACTAAGAAAATATTGGATTTTCTGCAAGTACACTATAACATTTCAAAGAACAAAGACAAGCTTTCCATCTCAAATACATACTTATGAACTCACCAACTTAAATGTTGATACACTTTCAAAACCACTTGTATTGTCAGGGAACCGGTAGACAGGTACACCCACAGGTTTTGAGAAGACGGAGCTTTTAGAGTCGCGTCTTCTATACTTTTGCTATACACTTTTGATGTCATACAAACTATGTATTGAACAGATGTAAATGCTATACTTTATCAATGTAATGGTTGTGTTTGCTTTGATTACTATTATGCAATTGTTGTGATGACGTCCTCCGCCCCCGAACATTTACGTCGTTCCGGTTTAGGGGTGTGATAGTACCGAGGTGGTGCTTAAGACGTCGGAGAAAATCCAGCAGGTCCGGAGTAGACTCCAGACGGCCCAGAGTCGGCAGAATAGCTACGCCGACATACGTCAATCAGACTTGGAGTTTCAGGTTGGGGATATGGTCCTTCTGAAGGTTTCACCTTGGAAAGGTGTCATCCGCTTCAGAAAATGGGGCAAGATGGGCCCCAGGTATATCAGACCCATCAGGGTGGTAGCCCAGGTGGGAAAGGTAGCGTATCAGTTGGATCTTCTGGAGGAGCTTAGATAGATCCACAACACTTTTCATGTTTCGCAGTTGCGAAAGTGCATAGTCGATGATTCGGCAGTGGTTCTTTTGAAGGACATACAGGTGGATGACCGCTTGAACTACATCGAGAGGCCTGTAGCCATTCTCGACAGGAAGACGAAGGCTCTGAGAAACAAGGAAGTAGAACTGGTGAAGTTGCAGTGGCAGCACCTTAAGGGCTCAGATTGGACGTGGGAGCCAAAGGACGAGATGAGGGAGCATTACCCCGAGTTATTCCTGGCAGCAGCAGCAGACTTCGAAGACGAAGTCTAATTCAAGTGGGGGAGATTTGTAACGTCCGAGATTTATCAGGTATTGTATTGCTTTTTATTCAAGTTATAATTATTAAAATGTTGGGATTTTGGGGCGGATCATACGCTGGGCGTAGAGGGTGTACGCACAACATACACATATTAGGTGCGGATCGAGGAACTCCCATGCGTACGCTGGGCGTAGGGTGATCGGATGCAAACCCTAAATTTTAGGGTTTGCACCCTAATTAAACAACTTATAACCTTCAAAACCATTATCCTCTCAGCGTCCCTTGTCCTCTTAGTTCCCAACTCGAACCCTAACTCCATTGCATGTATCTTGAGCTTACTTTGAGCATTTTGGTGTTGTTTTGGTGGTTTTTGAAGAGCAAGGAGTTTGAAGAAGGAGCAAGGATTTGAAGAGAGCTTGTAGATCCAGGAGATTAGCATCTTTTCTGAATCATTTGAGGTATCAAGTTTCAAACTTGACCATTGCATGCTTAGTTGTCGTTTTGGGGTGTTTTATGTGATATTTTGACTCCATAGTAGAGGTTTCTGGTGTTCTGGTAGTTCCAGCCCATAAGAGCTGTCCTTTTTAGCTCTTGGAAGCATTTAGAGTCATAAAAATTAGGCCTTGATGATTAAGCCACAACCATGCAAGTGTTAGATGGTCACAAAGTGTGTTTAAGGACATAAATCATGTCTTAACCCCCATCCATGCATGCAAAGACATAAAGTTTGTAACTTTATGGTTTAGGACGTCTTAAAGGACCTGGATTTATGTTTTGGACGTTAGGACTTAATGGATTAAGTCACAAAAAGAGTTCTAAGGAAACTAGCCAATACGTTGGGCGTACCCCTGGTACGTTGCGCGTATTGGGTCAATTTCCTGCTTCTGGTCAAGGCCAGCGTACGCCAAGCGTACGTGCCAGGTACGCCGCGCGTACACATACATAATGATTAATGTAGTTTTTGGGCTTGGATTTGTTGGGCCTCATGGCCCACTGTGGAGTAAGGCCTCTGGGCCTAGGACTGAGATTTATGGTATTGGGCCTTATTGGTCTTTAAAGCCTAAAGTAATGGACTTGGGCCTTAAATTGATTATGGATTGGAGCTTGGGGGAAAAGGCCCATTAGGGAAAGGACTAGGGGACCTTTCCTTGGGACATGAATTAGGAGTTGGGCCATAAGAGAGTCATACTTGGACCCAATAACTAACTAGGGGACTTGTTATGCTTTAGGGAGAGGAGTCTCAAGCCATCCGAGGCGTACGATTTCGGCACATAGTTGAGGTGAGTTACCTTCCTGTATGAGTGGGTCGAAGGCACCAATGTCGGACCACTAGTAGTTATTTGTAGTAGAGATGATTGTCTTTGTGATAATTGTCCGGTATGCCACTATCTGTTATGTTTTATGTGCTTATTTGTTACGATATTATGTGGTAGTGGTAGGGGTGAAATAGACCCAATATCCGGTTGAAATAGACCGAAGGGGAGGCCAGCACCCAAATATGCTCGGCAGTATCCGGCTGGAAGAGACCGAAGGGGAGGCCAACACCCATATATGCTCGGCAGTATCCGGTTGGAATAAACCGAAGGGGAGGCCAGCACCCAGATATGCTCGGCAGTATCCGGTTGAAATAGACCGAAGGGGAGGCCGACACCCAAATATGCTTGGCAATGTATTTGTTGTATGATATGTGGTATGATGGGGGAACTCAGTAAACTTCGTACTTACGGTTTTTAGTTTGGTTTCAGGTACTTCTTCTTCGAAAGGAAATGAGCCGGCATGATCGCATTGCATCACACCATAATTTCCGCACATGAGATCTTTGGGAGTTATATTCTGATGTTGTTTTATTATGACATGTTTTGATTATTGATATATTGGTTTTGAACTGAGATGACATTATGAATGTTTTCAGACTATTTGTTTTATAATTACTTAATTAAAATGAAATTTTTGGTCTTGAATTTTAGGATGTTACATATACAAATTACATCCACCTCATTATCGTAATCAAATTATCGGTTGTAATCACTATAAATTAATTTATTCCAATTCCCATTAAATTATCCAATTTTGAAACTATTTTTCAATCCAACTAATACTATTATTCCCTTCAATGCTGACTTGGCTTAGAAACAAACAATTCCCCCTGCACTGGTTTCGTACTTATTAACTTAACAAACCATCAAAATTATTATCTAATAATCCCAAACCAATCACAACAATATCAATAAACAAAATAATAATAATAATAATAATAATAATAATAATAATAATAATAATAAACAGTTCTTAATTCAAATCAGAAGTTGAATTTAGCCGAATCGTAACCATTGTTAGTGTTCAAATTACACGATTATTATTTACCTTTATAAAACAAGACTTTTTGGAAACGTTTTAATAATATTTTAAAGAAAAGATTTACAAAAAAGGTAAATAAAGAAAAGTAGGCAGAAACTTTAAACGCGTATCTTCATTTCTTTCGCTTTTGTCCCTCCCCACTACTCATGCTTTCACTTACAGTCTCTCAATCCGCCATTAACGCCAGGGACCATATCTTACAATCCCAACACCATTATTACCCTTTTCTTCTTCTTCCACCTTCCTCATTTCCTCATTTCCAAATCCCCCTTTTTAATCCTTCAAAATCCCAATCATACTATGTAAATTCTCCATTGATAACTGTTTTTCCGCCATTGTTTCCTCTCGAACATGGCCCAGAGTAGTCATGTTTCTGACAATTCTGTCCCAATTTCAGAAACCAGGAAGCTGATAAACCCTAGGGTTGAGATTGATACTTCGCCGCCGTTTGGGTCGGTGAAGGAGGCGGTGACTCGGTTCGGCGGTAGCGGTTCGTGGGTTCCCCTTAACGTCCTTCGACTCGCCGGTGTTAGTTTCTCTCTCTACACTCATCATTATCGATCTCATGCTCACAACACAACAGTGATTTGCTTTTTTAATTATGAGATTTTTGTTTATTTTAATTATGAAAATATAAATGTTGAAGCAATCGATCACGATACGAAATTATGAAAAAAAAATTGTATTTTTTCATAAATTTTGAAATCTTTTTGTAGACATTTAGTTCTCTTCCTAGTTTATGTAAACGAAATATGTAAACATGTTTTATTAACCACAATATGTGACATTTTATTTATTTTTATATGGTAAAACATGTTTGTTGTGTCTGTTGTATATAAGAACGATAAAAGTTTGAAACAATGCTGTATAAATTGATAAATGCAATTAAATTTTGTTGTAAATTTGTAAAACTTAAAATATTTTACATAAATTGATAAAAGAATATAAGCATTATGCATAAACATTTAACTCATATCACCACATAAATCATAATTGTAAAAACCTAATATCATGCATAATCTAACATTTCACCTAATTTATAATCGTATTATAAAAAACATACAGACTAGATAAAGAAATTATATTATTAAGTAAACACTTTTTTTCTATTTAAATACTATAAGGATTTTATTATTTAATAATTATCTAAATTTATTAAAGTTTAGGAGGTTAATTTTGACATGATCAAGAAAATAATTAGACATTTCTTATTTTAAAATAATTAGTTCATTTTATATGATATAGAAAAGAACTTATATTATTAAATAATAATCTTTTCCACTTGTTAACTTTATACTTTATATTATTATTAATATTTTATTTTATTTACATTTTTCTTACAATTTATCAATGTCGGTTTATTTGACTTTTAAAGTCAAAATCAATTCAATGACATTTCTTTCGTTAAAACAGCAAGATGTTGAAGAAATCGACATGGATACAGTCGAAAAGCAAGCTGCAGAACTCGAAAAAGAACTAATCATCAAAGAACAAGAAACCCTCGAAGTTCTTCGTGAACTCGAATCCGCAAAAGGAGTAATGGAGGGTTTAAAACTCAACCTAATCAAAGAAACTTCATCATCAATCATGGCAACAACAACAACAACCCTAGATCTGAATCCAGATTCAGGAACCACGACGCCGATCGACCAATCAACAGCAAAAACTTTAACATTATGCCCAATCCCAATGCCTCCCGGGATGATCTTAACCGAGCTCAAAGAAGCCAAATCGAATCTAAACAAAACCACCACCGATCTCGCCATGATTCGTACTTCTGTTGAATCGTTGAACAAGAAATTGCGAACGCATAAGTCGAATTTGGCTGAAAAAGATGGGGAAACGAAACGGGTGATTGAAGAATCCGTTGATGTTTCAAATGGGTTCTGTAAAAAATTGACATTCGAAGCACAGCAGTTTAGGAAGATGGAAGAAGCGGCGCAATATGAGGTGATTAAGGCGACGTCGGAGATTGAGCACACGAAATTGAGTATAAAAATGGTGGAAATGAGGTTGATTGCTGCTAAAAAGATGGAGGAAGCTGCACGAGCTATGGAAGCTGTTGCTCGAGCTGAAAATGAAGATACGCCATCGATTCGTGAAGGAATCACGCTTTCGTATGAAGAGTACTCTTTACTCGCTCAAAAAGCTCAAAAAGGTGAAGAAATTTGGAAGAAAAATGAAGGAAACGAAAATTTGTATCGAAGAAAGACACTCGAAGAGGCTCTTGGTAACCTCGAACTTATATTAATTTAACTTTATTTAAGATATTCACAAAATTGACCAAACATGGAGGGAATGAATTAATCATACATGAATTAATCACAAAATTAATCATACCCTAATATATTTTTTTTTTCATACATAACAATCTCTTTTATAGGATTTTACATTATATATGAAAAAAAAACTATTATCTACGTATCAGTTCTTTTTAACAAAATAGACCCTATAAAATTACTTATATCTTATCATTGTTTATGGTTAGGGCCTAGATCGGATACTACAAACGGAAGAAACCTCGAATCAAGAACCAAGTATTTTCGTGGAAGATCAGACGAAACATGGCCCACAAAATCAACTAATAATAATAATTCAAAAACCAGAACCCCGTACCCATATCATGGTCCTAGAGGCTTTGCCCCATTGATAGGGGACGATTCAAACATGATCAACACAGAATCGAGGCCAGTATTGCGATCAAGTGTCTCGATTGGTGATATATTGAGTCGGAAATTGATCCTACAAGACAACGTAGTGGTTCGAGAGGATGTTGAAAGTCAAACTCGTAGAGATGATGTATCTTTAAGTGAAATGCTTCGTGAGCAAAGTGGGCTTATATTTCGTGACACTGGAAAGTCTGAAAAGGAAAAACGGGTTGATAAGCAGTTCTTTGCTCAAAGGAAGAAGTTTGGTTTTATTCACGTATCGTTACCTTTAAATAAACATAACAAGAAGAAATTGAATCCGCAAACTCCGGAACCGTTAAACGTGAGGTTCTCGTAGGTTGAATGGAGTTTTTCCTTGTGTTTGCATATGTTTTTTTATTTATTTATTTTTTCTGTAATTCGTGGGGGTTTTTTTTTGTTTTTTGGTTTTGATTTGGGGTGTTGATGATTTATGAAATGTTCTAACATTTGTTGGGGTAAAATTAGTCGGTATGTCGGGAATATAGTTCGGACTCCACTTGTGTAGAGTATGATTGCATGGAGTTTGACTTTCCTAAGAGGTCAAAGTTATGGTGTGTTGTATAGGATAGGTATTTGATTAATGATTTGAGTTATTGATGTGCACAAAAGTACCTACTAGTTTTAAATTTATAACCTAACTAACTTAACTAACTAATATGCACCTAGGCAGTGTACCTAGTCGGATTGTAGTGTAGTAAAGTAAGTCGGGGTCGAACACAGGGAACAGATTCAATTAACTAAAATAATTACTCAAAATTAATCTAAAATCAAACAATAATTAAAAAGGTTTTTATCTAATTTTGCAAGTCTAGATAAACTTAATTACTAAACAAAGGTTCAATCAATTACTAAAAACATTCCCGTTTAGTTCGAATCCACTTCTTCTTTATGGCTAGCTAACAATTATGGATTATCAAAGTTGGTTACCTAATATTATATTATTAGCAATTTAAGTCCAAATTTACTAATATTTAACTAATTCATGTAAAACTATGCATGGTCACACACAATCAAACACAGAATCAGTTATGGATTAGGAATAGGCTATGTAAGATTTATTATGCAAACATAATTATGGTCATAATTTATGTTCTCCAGCACAGCTAAATTCAATTACTTCAATCACTTATCTAAGATTAGGTCAATCCTAGCTCTAGCAATTCAATATTCACTAAATCACTAGGTGTCATGTTCATGTAATTTAATTATCACTAAGCTACACAGAACATTAATTCAAGCAACTAAACAACCAAATATTAGCATGCTAGGTATTAACAATCAAACACAAGCACAATACCAACAAGTCAAATCCATAATTAATTAAACTAATCTATAAGTTGAAGCTTCATCTAGCTAAACAGGAGTAGCTAAATTTAGCTACTCATGGTAGAAATCAAACACAAAAACTCAATAGAGATAAATATAAACATGATCAAACCGAATAAATTGATGTTTTCTTCTAGATCTCTTCAAATCTTGAGCTCCAATCGTTTCCTCCTCTTCTAAGGGTTTTCCAGAGGTTATTTTTCGTAATGCTTGTCCAGAAAGTCACCTCCAAGTCTCCCAATTCGTCATAATATTCGGATATATATACTTGCCTAAAATCTGGCCACCACGACGTGGTAAAGGCACCACGCCGTGGTCCTCGTGTTTATCCCGTATTCTCCAAGCCAGCGTCACAAATCGCAAAGATTCCATTCACCACGTCGTGGTGGTTGAAAATCGACTTTTCTCAAAACCGGAAAGTCATCCGGAATTTTGTCTAGTTTTCATATCATTTTGAATCACCTTAATCAGAGTTACGAGTCATGAGATATGGTCAAAATACAGACGAGGGGTCAAGCTGTCTAGCAACATCCTTCTTGTGTTTTCTTCTTGTCTAAGCTCGTATTTTCCTGCTTCTAGCTTCCATATTGCTCCCGAGAATGTCTTTATGCTACATAACATATATTAAGCATAATAAGTACCTTTTGTTCTATAATATGCATAATTATAGCTAAAAGTATTAAGATATGATGTAAAATATATGTATAGATATGCACATATCAATTATATATTACTGAATGAGATACACGCCTTATATAGGCTGATTACACTGTTGTGGTCATCCACATTTACAGGAGAAGTCATAGGATCTATTGACTATATAGTTTTACTATGTATTAAACATTTACAACGTGATTAAATCTATCTAGATGGGCTTAATGGATCGGATGATCCATTCTCCGTAATACGCCCCGGCAAGATGGAGGCTCCGTCAGAGACACCAATCTTGGACCTGTTTCGAAGAAAAGGAGCTCGAGAGAGAGGCTTGGTAATCATGTCGGCTAGTTGATCTTCAGAGTGGACATGGAGGACTCGAAGATGACCAGCAGTCACTTGTTCACGTACAAAATGGTAGTCCAAAGCCACATGCTTCCTTCTTGAGTGATAAACCGGGTTTGCACACACATATGTAGCACTTGTGTTGTCACAGAATAAAGTAGGTGTAGTGTTAATGATAATACCCAGTTCCTGCAGCAGGTTTTTCAACCATGTTAGTTCAGCAGCCGCATTAGCGAGAGCCTTGTATTCTGCCTCAGTTGACGATCTTGACACAGATTTTTGTCTGGTAGAGCGCCAGGAGACAATATTAGATCCAAGATAAAGAATATAGGCAGTAGTAGAGCGACCCGCATCGTGCACACCACCCCAATCGGAATCCGAAAAAGCTGTGAGAGTGATAGGAGAGTTACGGTTTAGGAAAAGACCATAATGGATGGTACCTTTGAGGTAACGAAGTAGGCGTTTAAGAGCTTGCCAGTGAGACTGACGCGGAGCATGCATAAATTGGGAGAGTTTGTTGATGGAAAAGGAGATGTCTGGACGGGTGAAAGCTAGGTATTGAAGAGATCCAACGAGTTTTCGATAAGGAGTAGCATCAAGTGTTGGAGTGGAATCAAGAAGTGTTAAGGGATCCGAAGTGCTTAGAGGGGTTGTGACATCTTTAGCACCTTCCATGTGAAATGAGGTGATAACATCTTGGATATGACGATGTTGGGAAAGGAACAAACCGGATTTAGTGGGAATAACTTCAACACCAAGAAAATTATGAAGCATGCCTAGATCATTGAGAGATAACTTATTGCTGAGAGTTGTGATAAAGGAGGATAAAAAGGCTGAATTATTGCAAGTAAGGACAATATCATCAACGTAAACTAGGAAGTAGCAAATGATATTGTTGGAGTGATAGATAAAAAGTGAGGCATCGGAAGACGATTTCTTGAAACCGTAGGTGAGCAGAAAGGAGGTAAGCTCATTGTACCAGGCTCTAGGTGCTTGTTTAAGGCCATGGATTGATTTCTTGAGTTTGCATATGTGTTTTGGAAATTGTGGATCGGTATAGCCAGGTGGTTGGGTCATATAGACTTCCTCATTGAGAGTGCCTTGAAGAAAGGCATTATTGACATCAAGTTGTCGTAGTGGCCAGTTGTTGGATAAGGCAATGGATAGTATAGTACAAATGGTGACGAGTTTAGTGACCAGGCTAAAAGTGTCAAAGTAATCTTTTCCATATTTTTGAAGGAAGCCTTTAGCCACAAGTCGAGCCTTGTATTTTTCGATAGAACCATCGGGTTTGCGTTTGATTCGGAACACCCACTTGCAGCCAATTGGTGTATGGGAGGTGGCGGGAACAAGCTCCCAAGTTTGGTTTTGTATAAGGGCATTGAATTCATTATCCATAGCATGGCGCCAATGTGAGTCTTTTAAGGCTTGTGTGTAGGTGGTAGGTTCAATAGTAGTGGGGATAGGGTGGAGAGTGGTGGTGTTAATAAGGTTATTATTGAAGTATTTGGAGTTGCGGGTTCTGTTTCGTGGTGGTGGAAAAGGGCTGGTACGAAGATTGATTGTAGGTAAGGGTTGAGGTTGCGGGGAGGGAGGTGATGGAGGAGGGGATGGGGTTGTAGGTGGGTCAGTAGGAGTGGATGGGGTTGCAGCGTCGGGGCTGGCAGGTATGGTGACAGGTGGGTTTTCCGGAGCAGTGGCAGGAGGTTCATCGGGAAGAATCCGAGAGGTATGTTGGTGTGTTGGAGGCATGGTGGTATTATCTGTGAGGAAGTCATCGGTATTAGGTAACAGGGAGGGTGAGGTGGAGTGATACGGAAAAATTGTTTCAATAAATTCTACGTGTCTGGAATGGTAAAGATTGTGGGTTGATGGGTCATAACACTTGAAGGCAGATTTGGATGGAGAGTATCCTAAGAAGATACACTTGGCCGATCGGGGATGGAGTTTAGTGGCAGCATAGGGTCTTAACCATGGATAACACAAGCAGCCAAAAGGTTTAAGTTTAGTGTAAGTGAGTGAGGTATTGTAGAGTTGTTGATAGGGAGATATGTGGTGAAGGATGGAAGTAGGCAAGCGATTTATTAGGTAAACTGCTATTTGGAAAGCATGAGACCAAAAGGTGAGGGGAAGTTGAGCATGGTGAAGAAGGGAAAGACCAGTCTCCACAATATGATGGTGGCGTCTTTCTGCCACCCCATTTTGTTCTGGGGTGTGGGGAGGAGTAGTAAAGTGAGAAATGCCTTGATCTTGAAGATATTTTGTGAGAGCAATATATTCTCCCCCATTATTAGTAAATAGAGAGATGAGTGGTGTATTATGATATTTTTCGACAAGAGTCTTGAATTGAGGGAATAGAATGGAGACATCGGATTTCTTTTTCATTGGGTAGAGCCATGTGTATTTAGAGTAAAAATCAACAAAAATAACATAATAGACATAACCATCATTTGTTTTTTGAACAGGACCCCAAACATCATAATAGACAAGTTCTAATGGTTTCGAGACGGTGAAAGAATTGCTACCAAATGGTTGCTTATGACTTTTATTAACTGAACATGCATCACAATGAAAAGAACTAGTGGATATTTTTGGAGACTCTAACTTTAAGCTTTTGAGAAGTAGTTGGAGGACTTTGATGGAGGGATGGCCAAGCTTGTGATGCCAAGAAATAAGCGATCCAGATGAAGCTGAGACCGAGTTTATTTGAGGAAAACTGCGAAGAGATCGAATAGCTGCATAATAGACATCATTGACGTTCACTCCCCACATTAGGCACGCCCTCGTGCATAGATCCTTAACAACAAAATGATAGGGAAAAAATTCAACAGAAACATGGTTAGTTTTACAGAGTTTAGCAATGGACACAAGATTACTACGTAATTTAGGAACGAATAGGACATTTTGTAAGTTTAAAGGACGTGATTGGGTGGGAAGGAAAGATTGACCAGTGTGAGAGATAGAGAGATTTGTACCGTTTCCTAGCACTATCTCATCAGGTCCGCCGTATTTCGATAAGGTGTGGAACGATGCAGGGTTGGATGCCACATGGTGGGAGGCCCCTGAATCAAACATCCAAGGTGGCGTTGGGGCTGTAGAGCCGGCAGTGGTCATGTTGACCGTTGGAGAGGATGCATTCATAGAAATAGTGATGTTGTTCTCTTTCAGGAACCTTGCTAACTTTCTGCACTCCTTTGTATCATGACCTGGAATATTGCAATATTGGCAATAGGTAGAGTTCCTATTACCTCGAGGAGAAAAATTGTTACCATTAGGAGAACCT